ATTGTGATTGCGTTCACAGACTTCAATGCATGTCCATATTTACGTAATAGAGTATATGAATCTTTTGGTGATTCCATTAGAAGATTCAAGGCTACGTCTTTCGCACGTAATGCCTTTTTCATATCTAATATTGACCCATAATACTTTGGCATATCGTTAATAATGTCTTCAGGTCTGTACCGATGGCTTGCGTGTGTATTTATGGACATCGGTGTACTTTGATATAATGAGTGAGTGACAACCGCGGATCATTTTCACACGCAACCTCCACTTGCAACCTGCTTCAGTACATCCAACAGTGTACAAAGTCTACGTAGATTTTTTTACTCGAAATTCAAAATTTAGTTTCATCGTCAACACCGACAACTTAAAGCATAGTTTTACCTTCGAATGAAGATACCTCCAACGACAATTTCATCAACATAATCGGCCACATCACCGGTTATGATATTCTACGTTGGACAAGAAACTAATCCCTCAATAGTTTCACAAGGTACATTTGCACTTATTGAATGCAACTCATTGATAGGCTGACCTTCTTTCTCAGGTTGATTGTCAATCTCATCCTCGTTCCTATTGTCATACCCATTTCCACCATTATTCTTAGACTCTACCTGATCATCATCATCCTTAGCCCCATGCTCAGTATGATCTTCATCATAATCATACTTAGCATCACTCTGAATCTCGTACTCAACCTCATTCTTGTACAATTGACCATAATATGGAGGTTCGTCATCGCCTAGGTTACTTGGGACAACATTATTTGTCAAGGGTGTAATTTGTGGGACAAATAAGGAGGGAGAAACATTGTGCAATGGAGAGTAATTAGAAATTGAAGATCCAAAAGATAGATCATTCTACACTGGGTAGTATGGGAATGAAGACGATGTTTAGTTTCCGAATAAAATGGTATATTTCCTTGGTTGCTGCCACTACCATATGTTCCTTTCGATTGGACGGATATGTACAAGGGCATTTGAGGGAGATTTGGAGGGCCATTCAAGTAGAATCTCCAACCGGTATCATAAAAATTAAGTAGTTGAGGATTTCGAATTGTAGTTCAAATTTATATATAGAATGTATAACAAAGGTGAAATTGGTAAGGATCAATTATATTAAACATATACAAAGCATTTACTAGGTCGTCATATGTTATCGTTTCATCAACGTCTAAACCTCCCATGACCCCACTTTCGTACACTGTATCGACCTCATTCCAATTACCATCGTAGATCACAAATAGGTGACACATTCTATGTGGATAATAAACAACACACAAGTAATTAACATAAAATTACGAAAAATATTGAATTTCTTAACCCCGCCCAGGTTTACCCTAAACCCTCAAATTTTGAGACCTCGGCCACGTTATGTAAGAAACATGGGAACAAATAAAAAATTTAGACCTTAACGAGGTTTAGTAACAAACATGGGCAGCAATCCAAATTTTTCCAACTACGATCAGGGTTACAAAGAAACACGTCGGGTTTCTTCAAATTTTCAGACTTCAGTTAACCAAAACTCACGTAAATATTCAAAAATATAATGTCGACCTACTTTACTTTGACTTTCGACTTAAAAAATATAAATCATATTCTGGATGAATAAAAAACTAATCACGTTCAAGATGTTGAAGATGACAAAATGACTTTCTTACAAGGGTTGAAGATGTCAAAAATGTTGAAGATGAAAAAAATATTGGAAAAAACGTGGAAGATGTTACAAAAAAAGTGGAAGATGTGCAAAAAGATGTGCAGAATGACTCTAGCAAGATTTGGTTCTCTGTCATATTAATGAGAAGTATAAGATCCATATAATTAGTAATGGTACGAAAATTTGGTGAGTAATAAATTGGTTGGTTGATATAATTAAAACTTGGGCGGAGTTCATTATTTAGGCGCTCGAGTTTACTTGCAAGTTTTAGAATATAATTTATTATCAAGCTTCACATTTTGCGTATATGAGGGGGCATTTTTCTTAAACAATGGTCGGGAATCAAACTGATCATGCCCGAATTTTTTATTACTTCAGGCTCTATACTTCTAACTGGTCCATATAAAGTAGGGGCAGATTCGTCTTTACACACTCTCTAAAACATCAGAAAAAGTGGTATTAGGTTAGAAAAGTGAGATTTTAGATTGTAGGTCATTTGAGCAAATTGAAAACTTTTTTGGATTAAATTGGTCAAATTCGCAAAGAAATAAGAGATACTTTTGAAGGCCTAATCCATAGAGTCATAACAATACGAGAATGAAAAAAACTAAAGTCGAAAGTACCTCAGCAAAGAAGACGAAGGTAGAAACCTGTTGCGGAAAAAGGGTCGAGCTTTAATAAAACTTTTTAAAATATGTTATTAGAAATCTTGTTACGATTTTTTAATGCGTTTAATTTGAAAATTCATGGCTGAAAATCCTGGATAAAATGCATTCAATTTCGGCTTTTTGCGAGATTCATGCAACAGTTACAAATCCGAATCGAGATTATACCCGAGATTATGCAATTTCAATCGAGATTGAGATTGCATAATCTCGGGTCAACATTATACCTGAGATTATGCAATTTCAATTGAGATTGCATAATCTCAGGCCAAGATCATGCTTGGCGAAAATTTGTAGCAATATTTTTTTTCCAATGTCAAAAAGCAAAGAGGGAGAGTATGGTCGTTAATTTTTTGTGTGGCAAAACAAAAAATGGGGCATAAGTTTAATTGCCAGCATATTTAGTATTGAATTTTCGCAGTATTTGATTTCGGTTATTATGGTTGGCTGAGATTAAAGGAGGAGGTCGAGGGGTTCGAGAATGAGATTGAGCAGGGAGAGAATAGGGAAGAAAGTCTGAGATAGAAGAAGTTGAGGGGGAGAGACTTTTTTTAACATGAATGTTTTAGTCTTTACATAAGTGTCCAAAGTTAAAATGAGTTAAAAAAAATATACGTTGAGGCATCGTAAAAACTTCAAAATTTGAATAGAGGTAAAATTTAAATAAAAAGAATTTTTTGGGGGTAAAAATGTCAATTTCCCATCATTTTTAAAGATTATGACTAGTGAGAATTATCCATACGTGATTATTCTCCGATCATTACACTTTGGTTTTTCGTAGACTCCATTGCAGTAGTTAGTATTTAGTTTAAGAAAAAATCTACGGACCAAGATGGTAAAAATTTATCTTTTACTCATAAATTTGGCAAGTTGTATTAATTTTCACTGTAGACTTTCAATTTCATAAAATAAAACCCTAAGCTTATATATATTAATTGTTGCAATTTTACCCTTTATTCAATTTCCGCTAATTCACCAACTAATTTATCGAAAAATAATGTAAAAAACTCCTGAAAGTCAATAATGTAAAAAAAATTAAACTTTGCACAAATTTAAGTTTTTTTTCTTTTTNATTAATGTCAAAACTTACAAATTTCAACCAAAAAAAAAAATCGTTCTAGTGTCATATTTGTCCACTTTCTATCAATTTCATACTAGCTATATGTTTTATAATTTATTTGACTCACATTAGATTACTTTTTCAATATTTTTTCAAACGAAAACAAAACCAATTAGAGGCTATTTGTTTCGTGGGAATCCAAGATTCCGGTGAGACAGACATCTGGAATTCTAAGTTTGTTTTGTGGTAATGTAAGATACCGAGGTATCTCGAGATGTCCAGGTATCTTAAGATGACCATTTGAAAGACATCCGAGTTGATTTGGATGTCCTTTTGAAACATGGATTTCAATGATTCCCATGTCAAAGACATCGTATGTTGACATTTTTACCCTTCGTTATTTTTCATATATTTTATTTTATCAAATTTCTTTGATTTTATTTGTAATTTTATAATTTAAATATAAATAAATTAATATACTCATTGACTAATAAACAATTAAGTATATTTATTTATTACATGTACATATAAAATAAACTTCAATTAAATTATATAATATCTCCACTTACTTTTAATATTTGGAATAAATTATTATGAATAATATCTATTATCTTAAATACATTATTTTAAAGTAATACTTTTTAACTATTAGCTTACCTTTCATATTTTAAAGAAAGAATACCTCATGTAACATTGATTTTATAACTGTATTTTTTAAAAAATATTAAAGTTGAAAATGAAATTTATATTGAATATTAATTACTTTTAAAAATTCTGATATTAATATGAATTCTATCCAACAATGTACAAAAATTAATACATATATGTAATTAATATAAAAAACCTAAAATATTAAATTAATTTTAAGAAAATCTATTATATAAATGTAAATTATATTAGATTAATATATAAATTACATGAATATTCGTTTTTGGAACAGTATATAAATTTAGAACTTCCATGAATAAAATCCTGCAAAACAAACCTGACTATCTAGATATTTCTGGACATCCTTATATATTTTGTGGGCATCTGCATTCCCAAAAAATAAACGAACCCCTTAGAGTGAAAATTGCACTAATTTTTAAAGTTGCTAAAAATGCAGCAATTATATAATTTAAGATTTAAGATTAAGATTAAGATAAGGTGTGAAATAGCCAAAGTGAACATAGCTCAACGATAATTGACATATATCGACTCACAACCACGCGTTGTACTCGGGAAAAAAAAAATATAAGGTGTGAAATTGAAAATTTAAGTTAAAATTGATGGTCAAAGTTAGTATCCAAAGAAAAAGGGCATTATAGTATTATTATGTTTTTGGTCAAAACCCTAGCCCATCACATTTCTCGCCGCTCTCCCCCTCCTTGTGAAGGCCCAGCCGCTGGCACCCCACCTTGACCATCTCTTCTCCAGCGGCGCACGCGAACTCCG